GGCAGAAAGACAGCAGTAAGGAGGAGCCAAGGAGTAGCAGTAGAAAGGCTGCAGAAAGAGTCAGGAGCCCAGAGGAGGGGGAAAAGGAGGTGACAGGGTGGGGGCAGAAAGGCGAAAATGAAAGCAGACAACAGAACATTGCCAGAGAGCAGGAAAGGAGGTGAAAGGAGACAATTTTAGAGCAGAAAATTTTTCGGTCGCTACCCGGATTCGAACCCGGGACCTTTGAATGAGAGGCCAACACCTTAACCTCTAAGCCACGAGAGCCCCCTTATTGTCCTGCTTACGACAGGAGCTTCTGATAGTGCCACAAGATATTTAGGCCTTTTGCCTCAGTTACGCCTAGATCGATAACAACAACAACTGCTTCGATAACGTCTCAGTCAAGTGACACGTATTGTTCTGTGCTCTTTTTTTTTCTTTTTTTCAGTGGGTGGTTGGCCTATGCTCTGGTGTGGTTTGTTCCTTCTTCTTTCCTATCAAACATCTTTCGTCTTTATCTCTCCTCCTTCTTTTTTATGTTTGTAAATTTCTTGTAAAACCTCTAATCGTCGGCACTTATATGACCTTATTGTGTTGCAAATGCCGTAAAACTGTTACTAAAAAACAAGATATTTAGCCTTTTATCTCATTTAAGCCTGGATCGATAACAACAACTGCACTGATAAGATCTCAGTCAAGTGACGCGTATTGTTCTGTGCACTTTTTTTCTTTTTGGACGTTTTGTGGTTGGTTTTCTATTGCCTTGAACTACAGCTTTGATTCCAGTGGGTGGTTGGCGGGTGCTCTGGTGTGGTTTGCTTCTTCTTTGCTATCAAACATCTACCGTCCTTATCTCTTCTTCTTTTTTCTATTTGTTACTCTCTTGTAGCACCTCTAGTCTTCTGGCGCTCATATGACCTTATGCAGTTGCGAGCGCCATAAAACCTCTACTAAAACTAAAACTAAACTAGCTTTGATTCCATGTCTGTCACAGGAGACGCAGAGGTTGACATATTTGGAGAGCCCAGTGAACAGAGCATCATCGAGGCCAATCCAGAGGTCCAGAAAGGGGGCAAGTGGTCGCCGAGTGACTGTCGTTCTTGGCAACGAGTGGCAATTATTATTCCTTACCGGGATCGACTGCATCATCTTCACATTCTGTTGAGACGACTACACCCCATGCTGCAGACACAGAAAATTGATTACAGAATATTCCTCATAGAACAGGTATATGTCTGGTCAATAAAATTATGCATGGCTGGAGTTTTAATCTTTTTATGTGATATCTGTGTAATTATGACAAACTATCTGACAATAAAACATCATCAAGTTTAAGAGGGCAATGCTGTTATGATTATCCAATTGTTTGAGCTTTTTAAAATTTTTTTATTATGATTTGTGAGATGTGCTGACAAAACGAGTTACTTCTCGCTATCCACAAATGGAGATATTGGCCAAAAATCGACACTAGCGTCAAATTTGTAGATTTTCTATTGATGCCATATTCTTTAAGTATAACATGCCCTTTATTATTTCATACTTATAAATTGTAAAAACTTCACACATAAGCATGGTGTATCTATTTCCATAGTGCTCAAATCGGATAAGTAACTCATTTTGTCGGCACACTTCTCATTTGTTTTATTTGTTGTTGTTCTGAATTAGTCTTCTATAGTGAACTTCTCATTTAGCAAAACTATTTGGTCAGATGTTCAATTTTAGTGAAAGCAGGATCCAGCAAATATGAGCTTTTCAGATTGATAGTTCAATGTGACCATCAATCATAAATGTGTCAGATAGCAATTCAGTTTTGGGGACAACATTTATTTTTGACTTTGTTAATAAAATTCACAAGAGGGGGTCAAAAAGTAAAGAAAGTTAATTTATAACTTAAAAATAAACGAAAGCAATTGCAACTTTTATACCCGAAAATCGTCAAAGGATCAGATTTCTATTTCTTAATGTAGTATCTATCTTATTCAATAACCACTATCCACTTCCTTCTTATTCAGCAAAAAAAAAAAATGGAAAAAAACCAAAAACACCCCAAAAAACTGGGAGTTAAAAAGGGCAAGAGAGAGATTGTCCTTATTTATCCTTCTTCTTTTCTTTGTGCGTTCCTCTCTTGTGGCATCTTTAATCTTCCACCCCTGTATGGCCTATTTGTATTGGAAGTATCTGAAAATTCCACTGTATTGATGTTTCATTTGCCCCAGTCGTCTGTAAAACTTTTAAAGTTTGCGCAACGATTTCAGAGCTACTTTATTTTTGTACAGCTTCATGTATGTCAAAAAGTTTTAATGCATTTACTTTTGGTCATAACCAACTTGTGTCTAGATTTAATTGAGGAGGGAAATGATGGTAATTATTCTTTTCCTGGGTGTTTATGGTCTAGTATCTGCCTTTAAAAAAATTATTGTTTTTTATGTTTTTGCTTTTCTGCCCACAAAGTATAGTTTCTTTGATGTGAGTATTTTCACATACGTATTTGTTTGTTAATAGGCTGGTACTGACAAGTTCAACCGCGGCAAGCTGATGAATGTTGGATATCTGGAGGCTTTTCATCAAGGTGACTTTGACTGCCTGGTCTTCCAAGATGTTGACCTTCTTCCAGAAGACGATCGTAATCTGTATCTGTGTGATGGGTATGCCCGTCATCTGGCGTCGGCCATTGATGAAATGAGATACCAGTAAGTTTGTTGTAGGGATGCTTAATGGGGTCTTGATGCTGAAGATTATTTTATGATTGGCTTCAAATGATTCTTTTAGGAAAAAATGTATTATGAAACTACAATAATGGCCATTAGGATTGTAGTTTTGTATCTTAACACACCTTTTTTGAAAAACACTTATCCTTCCAAGGAGGAATTATATAGTAGTGATCTCCCTTAGAGTTAAAGAATAAGTGCCATCAAAATCAAGACTTGTCGTGGTGAAGATAAGCATGTGACCACAATCTTCTGCCTACGAACAGAACATATACAGCTCAACTTCCACCTGAACAGAATAAACCCAGAACTTCCCCCAATGTGTCCCTTGTGTGACTATGCATATGAGACTGTGGAGCATCACCTGTTCCACTGCACAGCCCTAAATGACATCAGAGCTACCCTTCTCCCTCCGAGACCTAACATAGACAACACACTCTATGGAACATTACTACAACTGCAGCAGACCTGCACTTATCACTACATGGCATTGGACAGAAGGGCGAGAGCCCAGCTGTTGCTGGATCGATAACAACATAACAACAACAACAACAAAGTATTGATGAATATGTAGTTGTGCTTGTCTAGAAATCTGGACAACTATTAAGTTGGCAAGTTCAAAGTTGTTCTTGTTAGTTTTCACATTTACGCTATGTTCTTGTCATAATAATAATAATGATGATGATTTGTGGCATTTATATAGAGTTCAACCCTGATTAAAATACACAGGCTCTGAGCGCTTGTAATAGACCACATGTTGACATTAATCCTATCCATACGTCGTGTTTTACTATCGTATCCATACGACGTAGGGAACTCTGTGCCATCACTTTCCAAAGAGGAAATTTACTCGTTAATCCTATCCGCACGCTTTTCATAGCAGTCTGTCAAAATGATTTTTTGAGAAATACTAAAAGTTTCAAAGAGATCTTGGCACTAGAAGTAATCTAAAATGTGAAGAATAAATCCGGGGGTACAAAATGACCCCAGGGTATACGGATAGGGTTAAAACTCATCTTGTCTCCTGTGTTTCTCAGTGTCATGTACTACAACTATGCTGGAGGAGTGATTGCCATGAACAAGCAAAACTTCCGCCGAATCAATGGTTATGCTAATTCCTACTGGGGATGGGGCAACGAGGATGACGATTTCTCTGCCAGGTGAGTTTCCATTGTTTTTTTGGTAAATGTTTTACGGCACTCGCAACTGCATAAAGTCATATGAGCGCGCTGAAACACATTAAACTTTTTCAGATGGTAGCAAATTTTGAATTTTGCCCGGGTGGCGGCCGAAGACTACTCTTATCGATTTTAGACCACCAAAGGTTCTTTAACGTGCGCAACTTGCATAAGGGACCTCCGAGATTTTTCACCCTTGTCCCAGATGGCTAGATGTAGATCTTTCTTACCAGAAAATCAAGGGTGTAGCTGAAAGACAGCAGTAAGAAGAAGCAATGGAGTAGCAGTAGAAAGGCTGCGGAAAGAGTCAGGAGCCCTGTGGAGGGGGCAAAGGAGGTGAGGGGGTGGGGGCAGAAAGTGGAGATGAAAGCAAAAGACAGAACATTGCTAGAGAGCAGGTGAAAGGAGACAATGTTAGAGAACAACATTTTTCTGTCGCTGCCCAGAACCTTTGAATGAGAAACGAACACCTAAACCTCTAAGCCACGAGAGGGGCCCCCCTGTTACTTTTTTGTGAAGGATTCCCCAACTGCAGTTATGAATTATTAATTCAAAGGCGTTGGATGGATATAGGGGTTGGGGGGGGGGGGTAAAAAAAGACAGACTCACTGTAGTGATATACCCTATGAAATGTCGGGAACAGATAAGAGGAAACTGTTCATGATAGATCTGGTCTTGGGGAAAAGCCCTCAGCCTTGCAGCCTTTCCAAGTGACCAATCCTGACTGCCTGTCATCTATTGCAACTTCCACCAACATGTCTTTTGTGTGACTCTGCATGAAACTGTGGATCATCACCCATTCCACTGCGCAGCCCAAAATGAAGGTAGAGTTAAACTTCTCCCTCTGAGATCGAACATTGACAACACACTTTCTGGAACTTTACTATCTTGGAACATGTTTTAGTGAAGGATCAAAATTGTATCCTTAGAGTTGTGTTACTTATACAACAACCAAAAGCTCTGTTCCTATTTACCTGTCCCTGTGGTTTTATGCACCCCGCATAATTTGGCAATATTTGATAATTTTTTCCATTATTTCTGATTATTTTAATTTATCGTTCTTAGTTAAAATTATTAAAATCGCATAATTTCACATTTTTGGGCTCAGTTTGCATAATTTTATAATTCTTTTTGCATAAAAGCGTGGGGACAGGTTTATATGGCTTTGCATTTCTCTCTTTCTCACAGAATCCAGGAGTCAGGCCTTTTGCTGACTCGCCCACCGCCACACATCGGCCGTTTCAAGATGGTGAGACATGCCAAGGAGACTCGCTCGGAACACGGGTTAGTTTTGACGATAAAACTGCTGATTAGTATGCAAGCCGGGACACACTGGTTTAACCCTATCTGTACGCCCTGGGGTCATTTTGTACCCCCGGGGTTGTATTCTTCACATTTCAGAATACTTCTAGTACAAAGATCTCTTTGAAACTTTTAGTATTTCTCAAAAAATCAATTTGACTGCTATGCAAAGCATACGGAACTGATTGACGAGTAAATTTCCTCTTTGGAAAGTGGGGCACAGAGTTCCCTACGTCATATGGATACGATTGTAAAACACGACGTACGGATAGGGTTAAACAAGGTAATGGTCTTGCTGAGGTCTCCTTTCAGTGCTTACTTGACCTACAACTACAAGGCACATCCAGGATCCTCACTCTGTGTGGGACCAACATGGGGGTAACCATGATGTCGTGTGCAAAAGATCATTCTAACATATTTTCCAAAGAGAGACGAGACCTTAGCTAGGCCTTTACCTCAGACAGATTGATGTCTGAAGAGGCTGGATTTATTTTTTTAATATATTTTTTTACTCCTTGTAAAAAAGTGGATTGTGTCAATGTGGTCTAGAAGAACACATCTTTCTCACAATACTGTTTTGCCCCTTCGCACTACAATACATTAATTTACATAGACAAGGTCGAAGGGAGGAAGTGGAAGTGGAATGTGAGCGTCATTAATTTGTAGGTCAATAAAAGATATCAGTCAAGACCAAGACCTAATGTGTCTTCAGTTTGCTTGTTATTGTAAAGTTGTAAGATCTCCAGAAAGGCTGTGACATAGGTTGTAGTCGTTTATTACATTCCTACTCACATCACACAGATTTATCGTCAAACATGGCGTAGGCCTAGCCTGAAGCGCACTATACCAGGAAGCGAAGAACAATAAAAACAACCGAACATTTATATAGCCTACGCGGTTTGGTATGGACTCCAAACGAAGCGTGAGCAAGCATCACATGCCGGTGAACGACTTGTAGTAATGCTACAGTTTAAAATGTTCTCGTTGTGAAGAAATGACCACCAGCACCCACATGAACGCACAGGCTCCCCTCCTCCTTTCCCCCTCATTTCTTCCTAGAGAGGAGCTCAGTACACCTGTTGTTACTTTTTTTTATTTTTAAAGTCTTTTATTCTCACTTTTGCTCTTGCCCGATTAACAAGTGGACCTGTTCTCTTACATTTTTTTTTTCAGATTTGCTTCTGACAATTGAATGCTTAAAATTTCATCTTGAAAAAGTAATCGGGGGGTAAAATTATGAATTTATGTCCATAAAAAGAAAGGTCGAATATTAATGTTTCAGATGTGTGGGAAGCAAGGCCTTCATAGATAACCAAGTAGTTAGTGCACAAGTTTTAACGCTAACATACTAATGTAATTTTCAGAAATGAGATGTTCTTGGGATGGAAAGCAAGATGGCCACATGATGGTCTCAATTCTTTGAACTACTCAGTGGTGCACGTCCGGGAGAAACCTCTCTATACTCAGATATTGGTGGACATTGGTCATCCTCCAAGCAGTATGGACGTCTATATGACAGATCATTCCAAAGATGTCTCTCTATGGTGGTAAGTTTTGTTCTTTGAATGAAGTTTTTCATCTTCTTACATCTGAATGTTCTCATTTCCTTTTATTTTATTTTACTTTGTGTAAGTAATATTTATATCTGTCGTATGTCTGAGAAATCTGTCAAGATATGTTTTATTCTTACAACCATCTGAACTCTTAGATTTGGGGCCGTTTTTCTGAAATATAAAAAAAACTTGGAAGATAAAGTTGAAATTACCCCTTGGGGCGTTGCTACTGACTGAAGTGTCTTTAAGCCATTCCCAGAGGGGGGGACATTAACATGTTCTTATGCACTGCAGAATTGTAAATGGGCTGATTCATCAATGTCATGCTCATAACTGTGCCTGAACTGCAACAGGGAACTGTTGCTTTTTCTTTCCTATTCCTTACTATCGTCATTTTTCCTCTACTTGTTTTGTATGTTTGTCAATCTCTTATGACCCGCTGTTTCCGGGGTGCCTTGATAGTCAAAGCAGACTTTGTGCTGTTGAAGCTAGAGAGGTGAGCAGAGTAAGTCTGATTCCCTGTAAAGACTTCTCTGTTGACATCCACCCTTTGGTGCTCATATGACCTTATGCAGTTGCGAGCGCCGTAAAACCTCTACTGAACTAACCTAAAAAGGTTTGAAATTAAATGGTGTTCGAAGTTTTTATTGTCCTTCCAAGAAAAATCGAATCTATTAATACAGAAAGCATGCAAAATGTCAACATCTACATTCCCTTACATTGATGAATTATACTTTACCGGTATCGCTTCCACTAGAAAAATCAATTCCATCATTTTGGGCAACCAACGTCCTCCGTCCCCTCCAATAAAAATATCAATCAGAAGTAAAAGACCAAGGTTTCTGATTTGCAACAAGGAAAGATACAGAAGGTCCTTTTTTCCACCATCCATTAAACCCCTACTATCGTAATAATCTTGAAATATAAATATTCCTATGACCTTTAAAGCGTACAATGTCAGAATACCATTGGGTTACAATCAAAGAGAAAACTGATTACGTATCTAGCTTAATGCTATTTATGATAATGTTAACAGTTAACAATTATTATTCATTTAAATTATGCACATGACAATGAGCCTGTTTGTGAGTGCAAGCACACCATTGTATTATTATGATTATGTGCACAGATTTGTGGGGAGGAAAGGATGTGTGAGAGAGTGTGTATGTGTGTATGGATGCACGCATGGGTATGTGCATGTGTGTTTGTTGTGAAACACCAAACCAGTGTGCCAGGATCTGGACAATAAAGATTTATATTTATCTTATCTTATCTTATTTATCTGAATTCCCAAATGTTCTGCCAGGGCAGTTTATTTTTATTATGCTCTTATTTTTTAATAGTTGAGTGTCTCTAGCTCAAGAAAGAGTCAGAACAAGACATCGGTGTAAATATCTTAGATTCTAAACAATAATCAGCTACTAAGAAAGTGTGATTTGACCTCTAAAATTTAAAGAATGATACTATATGAAATTTAAAGAATGATACCATATGAAATTTAAAGAATGATACCATATGAAATTTAAAGAATGATACCATATGAAATTTAAAGAATGATACCATATGAAACTTAAAGAATGGTACCATATGCAGTTCAAAAAGTTCCTTCGTTACAAAATTAAGACACTACTAAGCCAGGGGAAATAACTAAAAGTTTTACTTCAGTTTTGTTTGTGTCATTTATTTTGATAAGTAATTTATCAAGTTTGCTATTGGAAGGTTGTTGGGTTTTTTTCTTTAGAATTTGAACAAGCATTTTGTTTTCTCTTGCAGAATTAAATTATCTATACACATTATAGATTTTTTTTTTTCAAAACTTACTTAAGCATTTAATCATGTGATTTTATGATTTTGTTTTTCTTTTGATATTTCAGGTTTTTGAAGTACTACTTTCCGTGATGTGCCATTTTGTGAAGCTGCGAGTGCTTTATTATACTGAGACAGCTCTGAATGAAGCAGGCTGCATCTGATTGTAACGACTGTCATGAAATCCGTGTGGATTGACAAGATAACTTAATGTGAATGTGACTGATCTAGTCTCACTGTTTTTATAAATGTTTCCCAGAGAAGAAGGGGCAAAATTGTGTATAAGATGATGGCGCTTACACTGTTTGGAAACACTGAGTTGTTTAAGCTTCCACCTGCCTTTAATCCCCTCCGATATTCTGTCAAGCTATTGCATGTAACTGGTCTTGAAAGAATGGATGGATGGTTCATTCAGTTGTGATTAGTGTGCAAAATTTCTTGCCATTCGGTACTACTACTTTATTTATTTATTTTTTTATGTACCACTGTATTATTTATGATCACATCAATATTCAACTTTTTTTTATGTCCTTGCTCCTGTTATTGTTTTCACTTGACTGAAGTGTAAGCAACATTTCCGTAACACTTTGCAGTCACTTGGTGCAATAATGCGTCAGTGAAAATTATCCGTTCCGGTCACCTGGCGCACTTCTACGTTCTGCATCAAGTCCGAGAAGTCCGTTGCTGCCACTCTCCTGGCTGGGTGACCAGACGGGGCATTTTGTACTTCTGGCTGGGTGACTGCAAAGTGTTGAAAGGGATAATAATGTTTTCTTTTTTGAAGACTCCTGCAGATCAAGGCTACTTATATTTACAGTCGGGTTATTGTTTCTACTTAGGATCCTCTAAGTGTTACTTAATGGTAATGTTCACTACTTCAATATTTGTACTTTTTTAGATAGTTGGGGGTTTTTTCCACTCAAAAGTTTACTCGTGTCAAAAAGAATTTTATTTCGTTTTGTGATAATTGTACAACTAAGATTTAGTGGTTCCCTAGCAATATCACTGTAGTTTCTCATGTCCGTTTTTATTCACTTTCATAAATATCGTTGAAGAATCAAATCACACCCTTCTTGTTCATATTGCAAGTTCTCATCTTGTTGAAATCTCTGTGGATTGTTCTCTATTCTGGCATACTCATCTTATATATGTATATAAATTATCTGAGAATGGTGATTTTTTAATCATTTTTTTAAACTGTGAATATGACCAACAAATTGAAGTAGTTGAACTAAGCTCAAAATCATGTTTTAACTCAAAGGTATGTTTCAAGGGTGATGACCAGCAGTAATTAAATGTATTGGTGATTGAAGTAGGGGCGTGGGTGGTTGGCGGGTGCTTTGGTGGGGTTTGCTTCTTCTTTCCTATGAAACATCTATCGTCCTTATCTACCCTTTTTCTTTTTTATATTAATTTGTTGCTCTCTTGTAACACCTCTAATCTTCTGGCGCTCATATGACCTTATGCAGTTGCGAGCACCGTAAAACCTCTACTAAAACTTTAAAAAGTAGGGGCTTTGTAATATGCAACTGGTCAGACCACGCAGCTACTTTTCTTGTCATCACCATGATTTCTGATTCTTGTTTCTTAGTTCTGTTGAAGTTGTAAACTAGATCAAATCTGCTTCTTTTGATTTTAGGAAAATTACCATTGGAAATGACATTACGGAACTGACACCATCTGATGATCTTCCACACAAAATGACTATGGTTCATTTTAACCCTATCCGTACACCCTGGGGTCATTTTGTACCCCCGAGGTTGTATTCTTCACATTTTAGAATACTTTTAGTACAAAGATCTCTTTAAACTTTGTCAGTATTTCTCCAAAAAATCATTTTGACAGAATGCTATGCAAAGATTACGGATCGGATTAACGAGTAAATTTCCTCTTTGAAATTGGTGGTACAGAGTTCCCCACGTCGTATGGATACGATAGTAAAACACGATGTACAGCTAGGGTTAAACAAGTAACAAAAGTCAGTCTTATTATTGTTGTTGTTATTGATCCAACAACAGCTTGGCTCTCTCCCTTCTGCCCAGTGCCATGTAGTGATAAATATATAGGTTTGCTGTAGTTTGCTAAGCTGTAATGTTCCGTAAAGTGTGTTGTCAGTGTAATGTCTCGAAGGGAGAAACATAGCTCTTGCTCTCCTTTAGTGCTGTGCAGTGGAAAGGGTGATGATCCACCATCTCATATGGGTAACCACTCAAAGGACACATTGTGGGAAGTTCTGATTTTATTCTGTTAAAGTAAGTAGAAGTTGAGCTGTATATAACAGATATTCTATTTGCTGGAGGAAGATCGCGGTCTGCTCCTTTCTCTGAAGGAGGTTGATATTGTCGTTTTGTATTGCAAATTGTCGTCATTTGTTTGAAAACCACTCTGCCTGTCTTTCCCAAAGCCCATCTGTTCAGCAGAAGTCAATGTTTTTTATAATATAATGCATAAACAGCCTGTACCAGCCAAAACTTCATCACTGACCTGTCAATCATGTCAAATCATTCTTGAATAATTGACTAGCAGTGATCAGACATCTTGGAGTGCACAATAAAATTAGGTAGGCCTACATGGAGTTGATGTTCTCAAAAAACTTGTCATGATCAGAGCACAGGTGGGAAAGGCCTCTTTTGAACTCTTAATTGAGGCATTTTGAAAAAAAAAAAGATGATGTCCAATAACACTCTCTTTTTACCTCGTGGAAAATTACTATTCTAAAGTATATTATGTAAATAAATGAATGCTGGTCAGGCATACCTGGATTCTATCCATAACTCCTAGCCCTTCCTCAGCAAGGTCCATCTTAATCCTATCCGTACGCCCTGGGGTAATTTTTGTACTCCCCAGGGTTGTATTCTTCACATTAGAATACTTGAAGTATGAAGATCTCTTTGACAGTTTCAGTATTTCTAAAAAAATCATTTTGACAGACTGCTATGCAAAGCGTACGGATCGAATAAACGAGTAAATTTCCTCTTTGAAAGTGGTTGCACATAGAAGACCAAAAACTAAACTTTACTATACGATAGTAAAACACAAGGTACGGATAGGGTTAAGGTATTCATTAACTGATTGTTGATTTGTCTGCCAGGGTTGTGGAAGTTTTCGAGCTTCCCCTCCCCTGGCTGTATTATTTATCTTCTCAGTATCTCCATTGTATTATATAGCTGTCCCTGTCGTTTTATGCTAGAAAAATTCTGAAATTATGCAAAATGAGCCCAAAAATCTGAAATTATGCCATTCTGTTAATTTTATCAAAGAATGATAAAGGAAAATAATCAGAAATTATGCAAAAAATTATTGAATTTTGCTAAATTATGTGGGGTGCATAAAACCACAGGGACAGATATAGGAGCTGTCTTCCCTCTCACTTGCCAGATTAACCTTTTTTTAGAGACATAGATGTGACAAATGGACACATATAGTACCTCTGCTTTAATGATCTTAGCTATTTATTTAATTAAGTACATGTATATATGTCTGTCGCTGTGTATAATTTAATGGATAAACGTTGTGACATTCTGTGTGTAATTGAAGCACGAATTGGCAAAACGAGTGATAATTCGTTTCTGACTGAAGGGGCTATGTACCAGTACATGTATTGCAAGTACAATTTGAACTGACAGTTCTGAGACAAATTTTGTCCTCCAGCTGGGATAAAACTGAAGTATTCTCAAATATTCTTGCTCACAAGGGGATCAAACTTTTCACACACTTGGATGAGTTCTTCAAATCACCAGCAAGCTGTTAAAAAGAACTAAGCCCTCAAATCTAGATTTTTCAGGAGAGAAAAAAACAAACTATTTCATTCTTTTAACAATTGACCTGAATTTTGATAGGTTTTATTGCTTTTTTACTTTTTTCATCATTTAGAATTTGAAACTTCAACAAATAAATCGTGAGCACATGCAACCAATACCACTGACTTCCAGAAACAACAGTGAAAAGCAGAACATTTTAGGCCAAGTACATTGTCAGAACTGGCGCGCGAAATGTTTTTCTCTTGACCCTCATTTGTGATGGGGCAGTTATATGGGCCGAAGGGGACTGACTGACTATTTCAGCTAAATATGTGTTTTGTATTACTTTGTGAGGGCGGACTTAAGACCAAAAACTAAAACTGTCAGATTCAACTGTACTTGTTATATATATATAGCCCCTAATGACGTATGTTTATGAGTTGTAAGTTATAAGATTTGTTTCATTGGTTGTGGACAAAGAAAAGATGGTTTGACTCGTTTCATCCTCATATGCACAGGGCTACCAACCATTCTGCTTTTTTCGTAATCATTACGATTTTTTTGCCTCTCTGCGAAATTCTGATCGTAAGGCGATTTATTACGATTTTGACCGTCTGCAGATTTTTGGCTGTAAAAAAATATTTTGGGCTCTTTTTGTTCCTTTACAAGTCTTAGTGCAGACCTGTAAATCGTTCGCCAATAGTCGGAATACCGCCAATCTCTAAATCAACCACCGCCTAAAAAAAAAGGAACAGCGCGAGTTAGCCTTGCCCACAATAATAATACCGTACAGGAGTAGAAGCTTTGTTCGTTGCAATATAGTAATTTGAAAATGAGACCACTATTACGAATTTTTATGGGAAATTACTAAATTTTCTTCATGGTCATTATTAAAAACTATGGAGACGGGTTGGCAGCCCTGTATGTATCACGACAAGGTGAAATTGAGGGCTTGTAAATTTTTTGGCATGAATATGGAGTTACTGGTTGTATAATTATTCTTAAAGCTTTTTTTTTTTTTTGCCTTGCTTTTGGTGAAAACAAAAATGTATCTATCTTGAATAGAAATCGAGGTATTGGAAAGTGCAAATTTACATTTTTTGGTGCCTTTGATTTTGATCGTTTTCAGTAAAAATCCACACAGAAATGTGTTTTTTAATTAAATGGACATAAAAGGTATTGAGTGTGAAAAGAAATCCTGTGAAACAAATAATGGCTACAAAAACATCAACAGCAAAAACAATGTTGTTGATGGCCTCTATTCCACCGGGAGTTGTTAAAAAGGGCAAGAGAGAGAAAGAGAGAGATTCGTGTGGGAATAGAAGTCTTACCTTTTTTTTAATGTAGCGTGAAGAGCCTGACCACTACATCGCCATAGTCCTGTCCTCGTCGTTTTATGCAAGAAAAATTCTGAAATTATGCAAACTGAGCCCAAAAATGTGAAATTATGCGATTCTGTTAATTTAACAAAGAATGATAAAGGAAAATCATCAGTATTATGCAAAAAATGATCAAATTTTGCTTAATTATGTGGGGTGCATAAAACCACGGGGACAGATAGTCAAGTGCATGAATGAAATGATGAATGGCGCTTGGGCTATGTCAGTGTTAATTAAGGAAGATGAAAAGTATGTGTATATACTTACTCGTACACTAACATTAAAAGTGAAGACAATCAAAATATCTCTTGATCTCCTTACTATGATCTGGAATTTGGCTGTTGTTGCTGGTATTTTAAGTTTTCAACACCACTTTTCTACTGTTCCATACTTATTTAGTTAGGAAGTGGCACCGATGTTTTTAAGTCCTGCATGTGATATGATGACTGAGCCAGTGTCAACAAAGAGTGATGATGTATTCTCTCACTCTTGACTTTTAAAAAATGAAATCTGAACTATTTTTAAACCACGAAAATGCTCATACTCAGCACATTTGCCATTATCTGTACAACTGTACACTTCTTTTCACTGAAATGCTGCTGCATCCAAAGGGACTACATGGTGGAGGGTTTTTTTTACTCATGAATGATGAAAACTCAACAGAATTGTTATTGATTTTGTCGTATGTGTATGCAGAAATTAATTAAGAATACTCAAAAAATACACTTCAGCTTCAATGATAACCTGATATGTTTGTGTTTGAATTATTGAATTATTGAATGATGTTCTGCATGATTTTTACCCAAGCCATTTACACTCAACAATCACTCAATGGAATAAATGCTTGACTTAATTAATTTTTCTACTCAGTTGTTCATGTACTACTTTATAATGCGTCAGCTTCAAGAACAGCTCAGGTTATACAGTGGAAACCATATATAAC